CAGAGAAGCTGGTAGCAAGCCTCAGTTCAAGTCCAAAAGTTGGAGAACTAGCAAGATGTAATCTCAGTTTAAGATCAAAACCTGAGAGCCCAGGATGTCACTTGTGCAAGTATCTGAGTCCACAACCTAAAGGACATGGAGTTCTGATGTCCAAGGGCAAGAGAAGAAAGGTATCCCAACTCCAGAAGAAAGTGTGACGTCACCTTTCCTCTGCCTGTCTCTTTTATTGAGGTCCTCAGCTGGCTGAATGGTGCCTCCCTCACCGCCCAGTGACTGAGGACGGGTTTTGCTTACTTACTTCACTGATTCAAATGCCAGACTACTCCAGAAACACCTCCCACAGATACCCAGAAATAATTCATTACCAGCCATCTGAGGATCTTAATCCAGTCAAGTTGACACCTAAAATTAACTGTCACAGTTTCCAAGGTTTTACAAGCTCCAATTCCATCAGTCAGTTCCCTGGCACTTGGCATATCTACTTGAATATGTAAATGACTTACACAACTTAATAGGCCAAAACTGAAACTCATGTTGACCCTTCGACACCAATACGCTCCTTCCAAAATTTCCCGCAATACTACTTGGCATCAAAGGATGTAAGCCAAAATAAAATACTTAGAATCACCTTCATCCTATTTCCTACCCACCTCAACTTAATCTACCAGTAAATCTTGTTGGTTTGACCTTCAAATATATAGTTTATACATATCTCACAATCTTTATTTTTAGCCTCTGGTTCAAACTGTGATATCTCTCAGATGAATTATTATAATAATTTCCAAACTACTGTTTCTTGTACCATTGTCCTTTGTGTCTTCCACTGCTCACCTGATCCCAAACTGCTAGGGGCTGTGAATCCCGCAGACATACAGAATCCTTATTATGGATGCATAATCCTCCCTGGCAAAAACTTCAAATTCTCCTTCTTCGGGTCTCCTCCTTGCAAATCCTGAGAATCCTGAGAATCCTACTGAAGTTCCAGTGAGTGTGATCTGCCATTACACAGCCCATTAGCTTGCCTCCAAAGAAGGCTGACTCTCACTCCATAGAGGCAGATGCACATTCAAGATGAGCCAAACAAAGGAATAAATATGTGCCCTCTGGGCCATGAGATCATGGGGAAGATTCGTTCTCAGCTTGGTAAATGCCACAGCTACAAGCGTGACCAGCTCGATCTTTAAGGCAGATCAAATGACTTTCAGGGATGGTTATGTATGACCCCCTGCTGCAGGATTGAGAGGTTTGGCCAAAGACTTCTTTCTCTCTATAGCAATTCTAAAATTTCGCTTTTTTGACTGCCTCCCTTATATTTTCTTCTGCTGTATAGTGTTGCAAAGTCAAATCCATGTTCTCATGGACTCTTCACACAGCCCCATGCGTTTAAGCAGAGGTTTGGAAAGACAAGGTCTCTCAATTAGAGAAGGAAACTTTGAAGTGGCACTGTTTCCTGTATCTTCACAAGTTGCCATCTTCCAGCTCACAGTTTGACTCTTCTCATCTGACGCTGAGTCTTTGTGACATAAAATAAGGCTTCCAAATTCAAGATTCTCGTCATCTGACTTGCTCTCACAACTACCTAAGGTTTTACCACCCAACCGTCAACCTGCTGCACCCAGGCTCACCCTCTGAGGAATCATTTATCATACTTCGTGGATCTTTAAACAATAAGTTGATTATTTGTTAAGTCATGAAGATGTACATGCCTTAGGTGGTATCTGCCAATTTGATAGTGAATACAGTAGTGTAGTTTTGCCAGTTCAGAGTGAGGGTAATGTCTGAGGCTAACACATTTGCTGGCCAGGAAACAAGTCAGCCAGATGTGGTGGGCACATTCATAATATCAATCCTCTGGGAGGCTGAGGCAGGAGGATTGTGAGATGGAGCCCAGCCTTGAAACCTTAATGAGATTCTCTCTCAAAATATAAATAAATAGATAACTAAACACATACATAAATAAAAAGGGCTGAGAATGTAACTCAGTCCAGAGACTTTGGGTTCAACCCTCAGCACTGGGGGAAAAAAAGATGGAGAAGGAGGAAAAGGAGGGAAAAAAAGGGATGAAACCAGGAGCCAAGTTAACTATCCTCACTAAACAATACAATTAAGTCTGGATCTAGGGAGAAAATACAGGCTCAGATCTAAACTCAGTTTCCTCTAAACTCATTCTCAAATTTGCGTTCACCCCGCTTTTGGACATGTATAATGTTTTGCCTATGCATTGCTGCTGCAAATCTTTTAGTGGGACTCGGGTTTGGCCACTCAATCTCCATTTACTGACCTCTAACATGGAAACTTGAAAATCTAGCTTGTAGTCATTAAGTCAGAAAAAGTAATGAAGAAATAAAATTTCTGCAGGAATCTGTATCTACTACAACATAAATTAAAAACAAATCTTCACTTGCACCAATCTCAGAGTGGCTTTTTGAGAATGAAATAATTGAACTTCACAAGTCTCACCTTGAACATGAATCATCCCAGCACATCTCTAAGCAGCTGTCAGTTACTATTATTTCCACAATGTAGAGAAAGAAATCGAAGTATCTTACAGGGGTAGGGTGCCTAACTCACAGCCACATGGCAAATTGTGGGCAAAATTAGAATCAGAATCCCAGCCAACTAATCTGTGATTATGGAATCAATCTGCCAAATGATGCAAGATGTAATTAAATAAACGCCTATGCACATGGCACAGTGCATTTAGTAGGCACTCAATAAATTTCATGGAATGAATGAAAACAAAACACAAAACAAATATGCTATACTACGATCCCAACCACCATGCCATATTGAGGTCCCAAAGAAAGCAGGTTGCAATCAGCTCACACAAGAAATATCTAGAGAGATATGATCTATATCCAATGTCAGCTCTGTTTCCTTTCCTGAGGGCAAAATCAGATCTCCTGTCAATCCAACCAGATCCCTTCTTCCCGGATATTCAACAAAACTTTACAAATGAGCTTTCTTCATGTTAAGGGTTGACCACCTCTCTCGAAACTTCAAGAAAACAGGAAGGAAGAAGTCCTGAGACAACCAGGAAAACAATATTTTTTAACACAGACCATGTCTTTTTTTAATGATTGCTTGGTTTTGTTATGTTTCCATGGTTGTCATCAGTATATGACCATTAGTATTAGTCATAAAAAATTTAAGTTATTTAAGGAACTGATTAATGATAACATTTGCCATGTGAATCTCTCCTGGGGGTCTTTGGTGCTGACACATGCCAGATGCCCATAAATATCCCATGACCATACCATTAGATTTGATGGCCATCCAATGATATTCTTTAAACAAACATTTTAGATATACCCCTTTGGATATTTATCTGGTAGTATAGAAAAGGACCTAAATCTTAGTGTACTCTTGTCACAGGAAAAATGGTCTTTTGCAACTTCTGCCTCAACATGTAGAACTATGGTAAGTTAAGAATGACTAACCAAAAGCAATCCTACCAAAACATGATTTAGTCTGTATTTTAGGTTAGTCGTAACCTAAAATAAAGTTAGGTGTAAGACTCTCTGGAAAACTAAAGAAAGTTGAATGAACTATGGGGAGAAAGCATTCAGCTGATCCTTCCTGGACCAAAAAGCTTTGATCTGTACCTTCTGTGTTCTGAAGGAGATTTTACATGTAACACTTCTCATTAAGCTCAAGTGGGAGCCACATAATAATAACAACAACAACAAAAAAACCCCACTTAATTTAGCTATTAACCAGAAAAGTTTGTATTATTGGGTGTTTTATTAGAAGATTTATGGGACCTTTTTATATCTGGTTTTATGGTTTCATAATCAAACTAATTGCTGTTAATTGATTTAGGATGTGTTGGGATAAACATGAAGCAAGCATCAAGAAGAACCGAAAACAGTGTGGGCAGTCTGAGAATGTTACAGACACGGGAGACTTCTTGCAAAAGAAGAGTCGTGTTTCCAGTGTTTTTTGCTTTTCTCGGGTCTTGTTTAGTGAGATTAATTTAATAGGGGTTTAACATCACTTAAGGAAAGGCATCAGAATTTCAGAAACATATCATGTCTAGCACTGTCTCTGCTGGGTCAGCGTTGCAAACCTGTCCTTCAGGAGAATAGCAGTAAAGTAAAAGCCTGGGAGCCCTGCAAAAGCAGCAAACCTGAGCACACGTGGCATGAGTCCATGTAGCGAGCACCTATTTTTAATCAGGCAGCTAGGATCTGAGGGCTCTGGGATTCAGATTCTATTTGTAGAAATTTACTGCATCAAAGTGAAAGGAGGCTTTTCTGCCCTGGTCCTGTCCCAGCCCTAAGGTGCTGCTGGCTTGTTTGGTCCCCACCTTATTAATTCCCTAAGCCTCTACACGGTCATCTTCCCTGACCATGAGACCCTCTGTCCCCAAGCTCAGCTAAGAAGCAGGGGTAGAGTCAAATGGCATCTGTGAAATAATATCTGTAACTTCCCATACCCCTGCAGGAAAAGAAAATATAAGGAAGGCAACCAAAAAAGAGAATTTTTTGGAAATGCTATAGAGAAAAGTGAGTCTTTCACCAAACCTCTCACCCCTCCAGCAGGGGGTCATACATAACCATCCCTGAAAGTCATTTGATCTGCCTTAAAAATTGAGCTGGTCACGCTTGTAGCTGTGGCATTTACCAAGCTGAAAACCAAGCTTCTCCATAATCTCAGGGCCCAGAGGGGACATATTTATTCCTTTGTTTGGCTCATCCTGAAAGTGCATCTGCCTCTACGGAGTGAGGTTCAGCCCTCTTTGGAGGCGAGCTAATGGGCTGTGTGGCAGCAGAGCACACTCACTGGGGCCTCGCCGGGGCGCCGAGGCATCAAAGCTGTGCCTACTCACAGGAGAAATAATGGTTGAGACCCTGACCTACTGGGAAAGCTTCCAGCAAAGCTAATGGCATCAGATCCTCGCCCTTGCCCTGCTGTTTCAATTGCAGTTGCTTTCTCTTGGCAGATTCAACAACTGTGTCTTGTGAAAAACAGCTCCCTGTCCCACTTAGCAGGGATGTCATCCCTATCACTCAGGACTGCAAAGTCAGGCTGCACTGAAACAACCTAAGGAAGAATTCAGACCCCTGTTGTCCAAACACACGCAGACAGCACACACAAGTAGAAGATCCTACATCTGCTTGTTTTCCGTGGACAAAGGTCAGTGCATTGCTGGTCCTTGTTTTTCTATTTGTAGACTGAGGAAAATGCCTATAAAGTCCAGAGGAGAGGACCGCTGTAAATACGGAGCATTTTTATTACGGCATCACGACAGACAGTTATTGTCACCCCTTTTCTTCAGTACCTGAAGCCCCCACACAGAATAAGGCTATTTGCTAGATTGGATGCCACTTTGGGTGACAGGTCAGGGAAAGAAGCTGGATTTCATGCAGACTGACAGGTCCTTTAAATTTGGTTTCTAATTTTATGTATTTATTTCTTTTAAAGAAAAGAGGGAGAGAGGGAATAGTCCAAGCCATGAAATCATTAAAACCAATTCCCTTTCTCTCCCAGCCCTCCCTTTCCCTGAGTATGTGTGTGAAACAATCTTTGCAGCTACAGAGCGGCCCGATGGTATTGATCCAGATGTGGAAATTGGTATTGACTGCTGTTGCTGCCCCGTGCACTTCTCCGGCTTTTAAAGACACAGCGTAGAGGTGATTTCACTTTGCACAAGACATAGTTCTGGAGACATATGCTGAAGCACACTAAATACTACAAATTAAACACTGGGTGTCATAGCTGCTCCCCAGTTTAAAACAAGGAGGAGCCCCTAAGAATCCAAACACATGACCGTAGAAAGGAGAGCAAGACACTCCTATCCAAAAAAAAAAAAAAAAAAAGAAGAAGAAATTATTTTTTCTCTTTGATTTTTATCCTGACCACTAGTAAATGTCTAAGCACAGTTCTGGTGTTGCTAAAATCCTTAGGGGACCAGAAAGTTAAATGGGAAGTGTAGTTTTCTAGCCAGAGATGCTATATTAGTTTTCTAAGGCTGCCCTAAAAGACTATTACAAACCAGCCAGGCATGGTGGAGGTGCAGGCCTGTAACCCCAGAACTCGGGGAAGCTGAGGCAAGAAAATCAGAAGTTAAGTCCCACAGAAGGCAAGGGACTTAAGGACTCTGTCAATTTTTTTAAAAATGTTAGGGGCAGAGAGGTGGTGGTGTAGCTCAGTGTGAAGGCTCTGAGTTGGATTCCTAATGCTAAAAAAATATCTATTATACATTGAGTGGGTATTGAAACTTCACAAGTTCAGTTTATAGCTCTGTAAGTCTGAAGTCTAGCATAAATCTCATTGGATAAAATAAAGGTTACAGCAGCTTTTATTTGTGTCTAAGGAGTTAAAGGGAGAATTGTTCCCTGTTCATTCAGGTTGTTAGCATTATTCCGTTCCGTGCCCTGTAGTGCGATATTCTGACTTTGGGGCACCACTCACGCTTCTCGGTTTGTAGCCTTTCTCCAGTTTCAAAGCCAGCATGTGGCATGTCTCTGACCTGCTCTTTTTCCTTCCTCTTCCATTTTTAAGGACTCATACGACCACTTTGGTCAGAAAAATTCAGGATCCCCTGTTACCAAGGTCCTGCAATTTAATCAAGCCTGAGATGCCTCTTTTTGCTGTAAGGTAACATTCACAGGCTTTGGGAGTTAGAAAGTAGTCATGTCTTGGGGAAGCCATTATCCTGTGGACTACAGATACAGTGGTTCCATGTCCTCTTCAACTCTGTTCCCAGAGAGTCTAGCATAATTTACAGAAGAAAAAGCTAACAATGATCCACACTGTAGTGTAATTCCTACAATGTGTGTGAGCATCTCCACACTGGGTACTCATTCACACAGTGAACACACTCTCCACACACTCCTAACAGCAAACCTTAGCATCTTCAAAGCTAAATTATTAAAAGATAGTTACTGTATGTACTAGCTGGGATGCTACCAGGCCTTCAGGGACATACAATGTACGTGACATAGTCTGAGTTCTCCAGAGGCTCACAGTTTAAAGGAGAAATAACCATGGGGCAAGTAATTACAATATATTGTGAGGTCATGCAGCCATTGTAGCCTGGACTTATAAAACACCCAGAGACTCAGACACAAGCAGTGCTGGAGGGGGTAACTCCCTCCCTCAGAGGACAGCTCCTTCAGTCCTGATTTACAGATGTCTAAAGTAGTATTAGAGACTATGTAACATGCTGGCTGGTCTCATGGTGCCAGATGGAAGTAAGGTGCTGGGTGTCAAGTACCCCAATTACAGTCCCCTTTGCACTATGAATTCTTTTCCCTTTATAGATACTGGCTCCCTGAGGCAGAGGGTTTTCTTTTACTTGGCTGTATTTACCTGTTCATTTCTGAAATACTCCTGTCTGTGTTCTTGTGGGGCCCATTCATCTCTAACTGGTGCTGTTCTGTAATTCCAGTCCAGGGCAAGTCGGTTTCCTGGCTGTTTCTGATGGCAGACAAACTCATCCTCTGCTTTTAGCCCATTTCAGGGTGAGGGATCCCTGGCTGAGAGTCTTCTGTCAGTCTGAATGGCTAATTGAGACCTCCTTGTGCTGAGCTGGTTGTAGATGGCCATGAATACAATCCTGTTAGACAAGCAGAGAAGGCTAGGCATCATGAATATTTAATCAGGTATAAGTAAATATTAATGAAACAATTGTATCTTTAAACGGTTAAATTACTTTCCATGCTCCAGTCCATTTTTATCTCACCATGGCACATACATAGAGAAATGCACACACACAAATTACACATTTTTCATCTGTGCTAGTAATTTCCAATTTGATCTTCTTAATGTGAGAATTGCCATTATGCTAAATCTAAACCTTCCTGAATTCATTCCTGAAGTTAAAAGAGTGATTCTGCTTTAAAATGTATAGTTCACAACTTTCTGGAATTCCAGTGACACGCCTGAGTCTTGTCTACTCTGATTTCATGGCACAAAGCCACACATGCCATCGGGAGCGAGAAACCTTAACTCGAGCTCATGTATGGTAATTGCTTTATTCTGCATGAACTCATTCCTAATTCCCCCCAAAACAAGAGAGAAGCTTAATCTTGCAATATTAATGACTATTATTTACTACTCTGATATTACCTGGTAAACTGCCTAGGATGTCTCTGGGTATATCTTTCTTTTACCATAGAAAGTATAATCTAAAACTATGATCACTGTGTGCCAACAAACCCCCTCTACACCCTCCCCCTCACTTGGAACACACTAATCCATCACTCTTGTCACTTTCTGAAGCAATTCTGGAAGTTTTCATTCATGACTTTTGTAGTTGTGTTGTGGCAACTGCCTCAATGTCTTGAATCCAATCAAAATGTTTACCTTTCGTGACCTTTTTGACTTTGAAGAGGAGCCAGAAGTCACATGGCCCCAGCCTGAGTGAAAAAGGTACCTGAGGACACCTCATAGTGTTTCTATGAGTTTCCCCTTCTACTGGATGGCACGTTATCACTATATTTTTTATCCTATCTCTTAGAGATACTCATGAAAGAGGACTTGCAGAACTACTTCAGAAAGTGGCAAGAATGACTGCATAAGTGTGTTGGATGCAAGACAGAATATTTGCATGGGATTAGTGGCAATAAATCCTTTATACTAATATTTTTTACTTAAACACATGTACATCTCGATCATCCCTTATATTCCTTTCAGTAATTTTAAACAAGCTCTCAGTGAGTTTTGTATTCCTGTCTTTCAATACCATCTCTTTCTTTACAATTTCTTTACAATACTACTCTTTCTTTACATTTTTGGAAATTTGTTCAATCCAAATTGTGTCTCTTTAGACTTGTTTTTTGTATTGTTTGCATCCTTTTTCCCACTATATAATTAAGTCTTTCCTCTTTAATATTTTTATTTTGTCTGAACCTTACACTTACATTTTGCTATTTATTTTTTAATCCCTGGATTTCAGACTAGCTTTCCATCCTTTGTTCAATCTCATGTCAAATGATATTATCACCCCTTAATGTCAGAAGTATTTGTCTTTCTGTCTCTGAATCACAGCTTCTCCCTCTCAGTCAATGAGGACCACAGCAGTGTCTTTCTTTGGCTTTCTAAATGCAGTGCTCTTTCACCTAAAACTAATTTCCCAATTTTCTTTTCATAATCAAGTATCTTAATGATCTTCTGACCTTTTTCCAGTTCACTGTCTACAGCTATTTTGCTATTGACCACACCCTATTTTCCAGCTTTGATAGAATAATTGAATTACACAGGTAAAGAACTCTTCCTCACGGAAATTCAATCTATTTTAAAGCCAAAGTTAAATGAATCATTGTATCATCTCCAAAAACAAAGAAATTCTGTAATCACATTTCACAACTCCTCTAAATTTTATCTCAATCCTACCATCAAACCAACATATACCATGTGCATCAGTATACAATACATAGTCTTGCAAAATGTATTATGAGTGGGCAAACTATATAGAGAATATTTAACCTTAAAAAAGAAAATATTACACTAAAAACACAATGCTGCTAGTCCCCTCACAACAGACTTCCATCATGAAGCAGTTCTAATAGACTTCTTTTGCAAGTGATTTTGTTGTGTTTGGTTCTGGGAATCAAACCCAGGGTCTTCTTCATGCAAGGAGAGAACTCTACCCCGGAGCCACAACCCCAGCCCCAGCCAGAGAATGTCTTTATGAGGCAGGGTAAAGCAAACGTAGTGGCTGCTGCTCGTGCCATTCAACATAGAGCAGCTTCTGCACCTATTATGGTGCACCCTCCTCCACCTTGTTCATCAGATCTGTACTGTATAACTGGACTCTTCACCAAAGTTGAAAGGACCATACAACATAAATGTTTCGGATGATTTCAGGAGCCCAAGGCAGTTGTGATAACACAACTAAAGACACTCAAGAAAGATTTCCAGAACTGCTTCAGAAACTGACAAAGAACAGTGGGATATGCACATTGCAAGTAAGGGGAAATTATTTCGAGAGAGATTATTGGCAAGGTGTCTTTTACTGTAATAACTTTTTAATGTAAACATTCACTGTACTTTAGGATTACATTTGGTATGTATAAATCTGTAATAAATTGCTACTCTATTTGAGATATGGTAAACACTGTAGGAAAAGGGGACCTTACAGCCATTTGCATAGGCAAGAAGTGGAGGAAAGGCTGCTACTTTGTTTTTTTAAAATTTTGCATAAAGAACACAACCTCCCTAACTTACTTCTTACCTCTTGCAGCCTTTGCTTTCTCAGATCCCCTGCAGTCCTGATTTTCCAGGTCCTTGCCCAAGCTGAGTCACCATCAACAGCAACTAAAAGGAAATCAAACCACTGATTAGTGCACCGAATATTGCAAGGTCTGAGACATCACTTGAAGATTCTAGGCTCCCTTCTTTTCAGCCTTAAAACTAAAAGAAAAAAAAAATAAAACTCTAAAAGAAGACATAAGCAATGAAGCATGGATTTTTTTAAAAAAAATTTTTTTTAACTTATAGGACACGATTTTCAAACAGGTTTAGATACAAAAACCTCCATATAAACAGGAAAAGTGAGAGTTCTTTGGTGGAGGACAGAGAGCAGGGCACATGGGAAAGCTGCTTCCCCCTGAGCTCCACGTCACCCCCATTGGCTTCTCCAGAGAGTCTTCCACACAAGCCACTGGACCTGGCTCAACCAAGCGCCAGTTTGGGCAACCCGATTGCTGTAAAAACAACTTAGCTTGGAAATCATAACACAGAAACATTCTTTTAGGGTAGCATCTCCGGCAAGTTGTTTCCAGAATGACTCCAGTTTCACTCGTAAATAGTACAGTGTGTCCGAGTCGTTTTATCTGCAGTTCTGACGGACTGGTCATCTCCCAGCAACATCTAACATTCACTTTGTGCCATTTCTCTCTTCTTCTCTTCGGCTCCTTCCCACGAACTTCATTGCTCCACATTAACTCCCAGGCACACACTGTGCCTGTGGCTTTCATACCATAGAACTCTCACTCACAGGACCTTAAAAGGAAATTACATTTGCTTTTAGAAATACAGGAAGAAAACAATTTGATTAAATAAGCTCTGTCCCATCTTTTAATACAATAAAAATTACTTAGTACTTGCAAGAGAATATTAAGAATAATTATCACCTAAAGTATTTATATGATCAATGTGAGTAAAGACAGCATTGTGGCTCTGCTTTGCATGAGCATTTTAACGTCTTCTGCAGCAAGGCGCGTTTAAAGGTATCCATGGTGTCACCCTCCTATGGGATGGGACAATAACAGTGCCTAGGGTTATTTAACCATTTGTTCGTGAATTGAATCAGGAGCCACCAGGCCAAGTAAGGTGATCTAAGTTAATAAAACATAGTCCCTGAGCACAAGGAGCTGCCACTCTGAATGGGGATGCAAGACACATGAATATCCAATTATTGTGAAAATCACAATAGTATACACAATGAACGGAGAAATTCATTTTGTCTTACTGAGGGAAAATAACACCCAAGGAAGCTCCCTAGAGGAGGTGACACTAGAGTCCAGAAAAATAGGTACTATGTCCCCAGCATGTTCACAAGGGGAGCAGAGTATCAAATGGCACAGAATTAAAGGAAAAAGCAAGATTATTGATGAAGGCTTGAAGTCAAAGTGCAGAGTGTACAGCACGATCAGTGAGGAAGTCAAGGTTATAGTTGTGAAGATATATCGTACCTAATTCTATTCTACAACCAATAGGGAAGATTCTTTTTTTTTTTTTTTTTTTAAGACGGGGTTTCATTATGTAGTCCCTGGCCTTGAACTCACTTTGATATGCAGCCTCGCCTTAAACTTATGCCTGTCCTTCTTCCTCAGTCATCCAAGTGCTCGGTTAAGACGTTTCAGATAATTAGATGTGTTTATTCTAGAAATATGTTTGAACTATGAAGAAAAGATGGCAGAAGATAACCCCAGTATGTTAGCTTGGAGGATGGGATAGGTGGTATTACCATCAGAGAATAAGTAATCCAAAAGAGAAAAGTAATTTTTGTAGGCAGCTATGAGGAATGGAGTGAAAGAAAGTATAGAAAAAATAATGAGCTTGTCTTGTAGCCTATCTGGAGTATGGTTAGGCTGAGGTGTGCACAATTCCTTGCTCATTCCTCACTGAGTGTGTCTTTACTTAGCTAAGTAATGCCCAAAGAAAATGGGATCAAGACCTGGAGGGAAAACCAAAGGGAACTCAGAATTTGGCAAGCTGGACCAAGGTACATGAAAGGAGCTACACTACGAGACTGAGGCATCAGCTTCTCTGCATGGAAGCAAGATTAACCGTGGAATCTGTGGTGTGGGCAGGCAGGTCAGTAGCATCAACCGGAGAGAGAATCAAAAGGCAGAGCCTCCCAAGGGACTTGGAGGTAGAATGAGACATATTATGAATTTTATAGGATTATCTTGAGAATTAAATGAAATAAAAAAATTAGGTGCTTGGCATATACTTGCTGAATTAAAAATGACTTAATCTTACCTTTTAAAATACTCACTGTAGACCTAAAGAAAAAATACTTATGGCATGCTGGGATACAGCTCAGTGGCACAGCATCTGCCTGGCAAGTGTGAGGTTATGGGTTCTATTCTCCATACCCCCCCCAAAAAAGAAAACTAATCTTATGGCGTTTTTATTATGTGAGCTTTTGCAATTTCTGTTAAGCACAAACTTATTTTGTATAATTCTCTTCTCTTCAGTGTTGCTCATTAAAGCCCAGATTTGTCACTTGAGGCCACACCCTGAAATGTGCTATGTTGTCATCTCATGTGACAATCCTGGTAGTACCCACCATCTCATCCTCTGAACTGCCAACTTCGTGCTCTCACATTGAGAAGCACCTTCCTCTTGTTCACAGGCATTAGACCCTTCACAGTGCATAATTTAGTGCAAAATTAAACTCTTGTTCTTAAAATTTACTTAATTAAAAGATTATTTAGAATCTTGTCTTTATAAGTCCCTAATATCACTGGAGTATGCCAACATTCTGTCACCTTCAGAATAGAAAGAGAAACATGAAATGGCTCAATGTGATTTGATTTTCACAGAGAAAAGGAAATTCAAAATTTTTTTTTTTTTTTTGTCTTTTTCATTTTTATCGGTACCAGGGATCGAACTCACGACTGTCTGCTTGCAAGGCAGGCGCTTATGTCGCTGAGCTAAATCCCCAGCCCCTGGAAATTCAAAATTAAGTGCAGAAAAAGTGAAATGGTCCTCTGAAAGAATTCTAGTTTTAAAAAAAAGTAAAAAGGAGCTAAGGAAATGAAAACTCATAACCCATTTTAAGATGCACATATGATGCGTGCCTGGAATTCCAGCACTCTAAGAGGCTTTGGCAGGAAGATCACAAGTTCAAACCCAACCTGAAGGACTCAGAGTGACCTTGACTTAAGAAAAAAGTTAAACAGCCTGGTGATATAGCTCACTGCAAATCCCCTAGGTTCAGTTCTCAGTATCTCAAAATAAATAAACAAAACCAACACATTTTATTCCTGAGCAAAGTAGATATTTTGGTGAATTAAAAAAAAAAGGTACTGTCTATGGCATGGCCTAAGGTTCTTTTTCAGAGCTACCATTGACACCATACTAATATATTTGCTTTTGTTTCATTGACTTTAAAGTTTATCCAGAAGAGTACTGTTGCAAGAACTAGTCTGAGTCTAATGAGATACATCATATGAAGAAAAAAAAAAAATGAATTGTTTTCTTCTGTTGAACTTACACACTCACAGAACCCTCCAGTGATGATTTGGAAAGAAGTCTCTCCCCACAGCCAGCAGCTGTCCGGAGACACCAGTTAGGTCTCCTGTAATTCAGTTCAATCCTGAACTATCTACCTGGAGAAAAGGTCAGATCCCACAGGTTACAGTCGCAGTCCCACCTGATTATCTCATGCAGATGCCAACTGGAGATAATCGGTTGTTATCCATGCTTCTGACAGATCGCTCACAAATCCAGGCTCCCACTGCCTCTCCTTGGGTTGGACTAATTTGCTGGCATATTTCACAGAACTCTGGAAAACAATTACTTACATTTAGCAGCTTATTGCAAAGGATACAAATGAGAAGCCAGACGGGAGAGATGCACAGGTTGAAGTATAGGGCAAGGGTGCTATTTTTCCAGGTGGGTCCCATTTCTCATTTCTCAACACGTCCAACAGCCTGAGGCTCATCAAAACGCACAGGCCAAGAGTCCTTTCAAGGCTGACCTCATCGAATGTATTTCCATAGTACCACACTTATAGAACACTAAGGTTTATAAATAAGGAAATTTAACTCTTCTAAAAAGCCACTACAGCCCTGAATTTGATTTCTAGAACCAAAAAAAGAAAAACAATAAAAAACCACTGCTTTCATCCTAACATTACACCATACCTGTGTTCATTCTCCATGCACATGGATCAATAATAAGCATAAATAATCTGATTCTCAACATTCTGAGTTATATTTCTAAATGAATTAGTAGTTCAAGATATGACTGATGCAATTATGCAAGTAGAATGATATAAAAATGTTTTATCCTAAAATTCACAGCATTAAACAATAGCACAATGAAAAGCAACTGTTATCTTCATTTTGCAGAATCATCACTAAAGCTCACCAAAGACACATGAAAGTGTTAGACTATGGGCAGAAATCATATGACATCATAAAGACTATGTCAGTCTCCAGATGCCTCATTCAATACCATACAGTATTTGGAAAAATAAATGCTTGAAATCATTTTCTTCCCTTTTCTCCTCTTCTCCCTCCTCCCCTCCTTTCTTCTCCTTCTCCTTCTCCTTCTCCTTCTTCTTCTTCTTCCTCTTCTTTTTCTTCTTCTCCTCTTCCTTCTCCTCCTCCTCCCCTTTATTTCTCTCCCTCTCTCTCTTCCTCTCTCTCCCCCTCTCTATCTCTCTCCCTCCCTCCTCCTGAGGAAAGAAAGTGATGCTTCCCATTCTCTAACACTCAAATCATTCCCAGAATTATGTTACAGTTTATAGAATTGCCACGCTAATTAGGTTTTCACTCTACCTAAATTACTTTCAAGAATCCAATCTCTTCGTCAAAGATGAAATACGTGGACCCTAGAACTACAACTCATATATATATGTGACATCATAACACAGCATCAGTGGGTTACTTGAATAAGTTGTGTCGGTAGTTGTTCCTTAGTTTATTGATTACAGGTTTATTGGCCTTAAAGTAAAAAGCAACAGATACATCTGTGAAATACATCCAGATTCACTCAGTGAATTAATCTAAATAAGGTAATGGTTGTGTCTGTGTGATGAAAGCAACACAAGATCCCCAAATTTTTTCCACCTTCAAAAAATAATGATTGCTAGGTCTACATGACTATTTGTGGACAAAGAAAATAGTTTTCCTAAAACCAGAAAATGAACCCATAGATGGCTTACTTTCTATACGCATTACCCATCCTGATAAAAGAATCAAAACTATT